AGACAGCATGTCTTTTGGTTTATCCAATTCTTGCTCTATGATTTTTGTTTTTGGGGGGGTTTTTTTGTGAAAAACTGATCTTTATTTTCCAGAAATATACGAACTTATTCTCTCATTTCTCCATCTTCTTCTTCTACTCCGCTGATGTACAGGACATTGTTACATCTTATCAAAACTTCACCAAGGTGTCCTGACAATGCACCCAACTGTGACTACTGCAGTTTGAATCACACTGTCTCTGAGCATTGCCTATCCAGGTCCATTCTGTCTTTCACCTTCCTCTGCCTCTGGCAATGCCTCAAATCTGTTCCTTATTTGAAACTGGACTTTCTTGCAGTACTCTTTTGTTTTCAGTTGTATACTGTTGATTTTCTTTACTGCTTTCTGTGTAAGGTTGCTCTTTCTCAATATTAATTTGAGGTTAGCAATGCAAAAATTGTGGGTGCTGCTGACAACTGCTGCTCGATATGCCCTTATGTCTTGGACAGATGACCTGAATTTCCAGCTAATGCAGATGTGGTCAATCTGATTTTTTATTCTGCCATTTGGTGAAGTCCATGTTTCTTTGTTTTTAACCTCATCTTGCTGTGGCTGCTCGTCCCAAGCACTGATAAAGTGGGGAGGGCTGAGTGCAAAGCAAACCACCTAGTCATGTAAAAACACCTCACTGGTTTTAGAAATGGAATCAGGCTACTGTCCCAGTAAAAATGAACACTGCCAGCTCCTCATGCTGTATGAAGGGCTTCTGGTAAAAGCAAATCTCTGGAAACCAGGATCCTGGTTTGATGCTGCCAGCAAGAAAACACTTCAGAGTTGGTTACTGGAACTTGAGAATGTAAGCAGGGTCTGAATGAACTCTCCCCTAACAGCAAGCAAACTGTATTTACATGAACACATGTAACTCTGCTTAGATATCCAGCAGATAGAGCAGTGTTGCTCAAAGTGATCAACTCTGGCTGGTGCTGGGTTACAAATCACTTTAGTACTGAATGCAAGGATAGTGAAATGCTGTTATCAGTGTTGTATGAATAAAGGGGAGCAGAACTGTGCTTAACCTGTCCCAAATGAGCAAGTCACCCGCAGCTGAAAGGACCTCATTAAGCCAGGGGCTTGAATGCCAGAGCCCTATGAAAGTAAGAGGGGAGGGGACAGGTGTCCCAGGAGGTGTAGATTCTCCCTAAGGGTCCCCAGTCCGGTTTAACCTATTCCTCCCCACTCTTCAAAGATAGAGCTAAATAGTCTCCATTAGGAGCCTCTGTTATTTTAAGTGCTTAAATGAGAGCTGAAACCACTTGTGATGGGACCCCATTTCTGCCCAGCCTGCTAAAGTTGAAAATCACTAAAAGCTGACCATCACTAAGAGACTGACCTGCAGAGGTCACAGCAGAGAGGCAAGAGTGGCGAGCAATCAGGCCTGCGGGAGCGGAATGAGCGGCTGGCAGGGCGGCCAGCCAGAGCAAGTGCTCAGATGGTGGAGCAAGCAGGTGCCTTCTTCCCTGGGTGGGAGGTGAACTCACACAGATGCACCTCTGAACCCTGGGTCCTCACTGACTAAGGACAATCACTGTGAGTGGGGTATGGTGAGGGAGCAGAGAGGGGCACAGAAAAGGAACTTTTGCTTGTAGAACTCAGGACCGTGAGGTAGAAGGTACTGCCCTATGCACTCTGGGGTGGGTGTCCTGCTCACTGTTTTATGATTATGAATCCTCCTTGTGGCATTTTCCCTAATTAACGTCAGGTGACTTCTCTCCTTTCATTAAAAGTTTCTTTTCAACACTCAGACTTTGTGCTTCCAAGAGGGGAAGTATTGCCTCTCAGAGGTGACCAGGGGTGGGGTGTAATTTTCCCAGGTTACTGGGTGGAGGCTCAAGCAGGTTCTGTGTTGTACTGTTGAAAAGAAACCCCTAGATATTGAACCCAGCCCTGACGGCTCCACCTGGCAGAAGGGTTACAAGAACAATGTTTCAAACATGAAAGATCTCACAGCTCATGAGGGAGATGGACAATTATAGATTTGAAATCCTGGGTATCACTGAGAGCAAATTGATAAGTGTATATGAGAAGGACTTCAAGAAAGAGAAGAAATATTTCATTTACTCAGGTTGTAGTGAAAGCAAACACTCAGAGGAGTAGCACTCATTATGACCGATTCTATGGAAAAATCACTCATCAATGTAGGAACCTATTAACCAACGCATCCTATATGCCAGAATCCAAACCAGATTCCTAAAGCTGTCAATCATATAGTGCTATAGTCCAACAAAGGAACTTAGCGATGAGGATAAAGATGACAGAATACCTAAACATGACTTACTCCTTGTGATAGGTGACTTTAATGCTCAAGTAGGATGAGTGGTGAAGTATGTGTTGGGAACTAACAACCAAAATGGCAAGAGACCCACTGAATTGCACATGGTGTACAACCTAGTTCTTGTGAGTACTCTGTTCCCTAACAAAGACATGATTGCACAGGCAAACTTAATTCTGGCATTTCCCAACTTTTCAGTGCTTGACTTTGCAACCTTAATGTTCTTTTAACATACTTTCTTTTTTTGGTAATACATATATAGTCACACACAGGTACCGGCTCATAATGAGCTTGCATATATTGACATTCCATTTACAGTGAAGTAGAATGAAATTCTCAAATTATTCTGTTGTAATGCCACGTGCAAATGGCAATTCCACCTCACTTTCTGACTGGGCTGCTCGTAAATGGCCCGACTGAGCCTGTCCATACTATTAACTGAGTTTGTACCTAATTAATTGCATGGTTGATGCTAAATTCTACACTGGATTTGTGTGCATGCACAACATGGCTAATATGCAGTTAGTAAGCTGTGACAACTAGCCATATGTCCCTATGCCCGGGGCCTAAGCTAGCAACATAATTTCCTTCCAGTAAGCAGATCATAACACTTATTTTGTTGTGTAGACAAGACCCACTAATCACATTTGTTTACCTGGCTGGTTGGTTCTCCTCTCTCCTAGCTCTCTGGGCGCTACGACATTCTGGAGCACAATACCCCACATGCTGCTTGTACAGCAGCATGTGCTTGTCCTCTGGGCACTCCAGCTCCTGCTGGGGCACTACAATATAGCTGATCAGATTTCCCAGACTGAATTGATAAAAACTCAGTTAGGCAGTGGGATAAGTGTGAACATGCACACATGGTTGGTCTGTGGAAAGACACTGCTGTGTGGACACAAATGATTTGTGTTTATTGTACTCAGGTAACATGAAGGAGTCATGAACTTATAACAGAGTTTTTCTGAGCAATGTAGACAGGGTCAGTGTTTACCAATATCCATGCTATGCTACAAGGCCTACTTATTATGGAGAGGTGGCAGCCCCTGTCGTTATATTTGCAGTCAGCTTCCATTATAACTTTTTGTCCTTAGTATCTTTGGCTTGGAAAATGTATTTACCTTGAAAATTCCCATTCTGACTCTAAAGGCAAAGAAGAACAAAAGATCTTTTGGGGTTTGGAATATATACAGGCTTTTGCCAGGATGAAGTGAGATTCCTTTCCCCTTTGGGCATTAACAAAAGAATAATGAGAGTCCTTTATGAACACTGAGTCAATCTGTAAAGTTTGTTAATTAATACATTTTGTAAAAATCTCATCTGCATTTAGTTTTTGATCAGTGCATTTTATAAAATAAATAAATAAATAAAATACATGCAATATCATGAATTTCATATATAAGTAAACTAGTAGGACAAAAATGTGTACCAAAGATTGTAAAAATATATTTTACTGTGTTATATTATTTGAGACATAGGATGTGCACGAATGCAGAGTATATTGGAATGCACAGTGAATTGTTATGCACGTGCAGAAAGAGAAAGAGGTAAAGTTGCAAATATGGTTATAGCTTTTCCATAATCTGACTGCTATGTGCTTTACTGTGCAAGCCTAGCCTGATTGCGCAGTTTATTTTGTTGGAATAATTACAGTGAAAAAGGAATTCAAAAGATATTTAGGCTCTGATCCTGTAATGTGATCTACTAGTATGGACCTCTGAGCTCTTGTGGCATTGCACTTACTTCAGTGGGATTCCACATGAGAGTAATGGGCCCCATACCAAGATCAGGGCCTATGGCCTAAAACTGCCTTTGAAGTGAGAATTTAATATTGTAAATGTGCTCTTTATTCAGCGTTAACCTGTGTGGTCATTCTAGGATTGAACAACGCAGCAATAATGTAAGTGAAGCTGTGAATATGGTATGAACAGGATGCATTCACAACTTCATGTTCTTGACTAGCAGTAAGAGGTTTTCCCTCTCCAATAGTGTGTGCATAGTAAGGTTTTTGGCAGATTCTTCCACCACTGCTGTGTTACTATTGCAGCTGAACTAGCAATGATGCACTAGTGTGTACCAGATACTGGCATCTGCCTACCAACTAACAGTAGGTCTGTATGGCATAGTGGTAAAAATGCGGGTGGCCAGTATACACTACCACTTAGACCACTGCTAGCCCCAGTGATACTACACCAGTGCTATAGCAATGGAGGGACACAAGGCTCAGTGTAGGCATTATGTCTTTGAGCGAGAAAACTTCTTAGTGCAAGTCAAGGACATAAAGCTGTGATGCAGAATGAATGAAAGTTGCCTCTGTGCACAGGACCTGCACAAGCTAAGGGCTTGCAGAGTGATTTTCAAAGATGTGTGACACCCAGGAACTCCCCCTGAACTTAACAGGAACTACGGAGTGCTCAATACTTTTGAAAAATCAGGCCATTAAGCGCTTTGTCTCTTGGTACATAGGAGACATTTAACACATATTCACATGTAACATCTATTAATTTCAATGGAAATAACTTTAATGTATCAAGATGACAATATAACCTCGTAGGATTCTACTTAGTTAACTATATTGGTTCTACATCAGAATCTTGGAGGGTTATTTCTGAAGCCTATGTGATCCCAGAGTTTTGGTTACAATTCTGTCTTCCATCAGTTTTAGTAACAGGATTTAAGTGATAAAACTTACCATGTCAACTTCTGAAATGCTGTCAATACTTTCCACCTGCACATCAATGCCCACTGGTATCGGTGATCCTTCAAAATAGCAGAACAAAAAATGTGATCTGAAGTGACAAATGTTTTTAATATAAACCTATATGTTAATATAAACCTAAACAACCTGCATTGTTCACCGCCTCCCCACACACATGCTGCCTTGAATTAATTTTAAAACTGTTGTGTGCACTGAATCCAACCTTAATAACCAAATGAGAAAGTCAATGACAATGAAAGAAAACCTGATATTAAAAAGCTGATCAAATAAGCACATGTCCTTCAGAGATCTCTCTGCAACCTAGCACAGGGTATGACTGGGATTTACAGCAGGGCCCTGAAGTTTGGTGAGCATAAGAAAATTTTCTTATGATTCTGAAACTAATGAAGCTTACACAACTCATTAGAATGGCCCTGTGGAAAACTTACATAAATACCTGTATCAAATACACCAATGCTTGTAAAGACTACTTAATAGTGAAAACATTTCCTCCTCCTTCTAAAGAAAATTATTTATTATACTTCTAAAGTAACTTTACCAGGTAACTAATAAAAGTTTATCCTATAATAACTTGAAATGGATATATAGGTCCAATAAATGGGAAACCTGCTCATTGACTGCTAAGTAAAACGATATTCTAATCTGTTTCTCAGTGCTGGTGCAACTACACTGGTACTAACAACAATGCAACATAAGAACGGCCATACTGGGTCGGACCAATTGCCCATCCAATCCAGTATTTTGTCTTCTGACTGTGGCCAGGGCCAGGTGCTTCAGAGGGAATAAACAGAACAGGTAATTATCAGGTGATCCATTCCCTGCCACTCATTTCCAGATTCTGGCAAACAGAGGCTAGGGACACTTCAGAGCATGCAAGCACTAGGGAGGACATAGCTCCCATGTTTTTACCACCACATCGTGAAAACCTGCTCACCGAAACATTAATTATTATATGACTATGGAATGGCAGTAAGGACACTGGCTGTGATGACCAGGGAGAGTATGGGAGAATATAGATAGATACTAATTTAACTGCTGTAAGATTTTATAAATAAATTAAAATCCTGATCAAGTATTTTGCAAGTCAAAGCTCCCATTCTGCCCACTATTCTGAATTTCAGAGCTCTGGACGGCAAATATAAGTTAAAAATCCATCTACAAAACACAGGCAGAACAGCTAGGTGACTGCCACTGACACATACAGGAACTTTTTTGGTCTTAAAAATATAAAAAAGTGCAACATTAAAGTTAAAATTAAAACAAGGTCAGGAAATGCAGAAGTTAAGGTTCCCAGACCAATGCTAACAGTTATGCTTTACATATACATGAGTTATCCAGTATATTTTACAGTGAAGATCCCAAGCCTGAAAAAACTTAAGCATGTGCTTTACTTCAAGCACGTGAGTAGAGACAGTAACATTAATGGGATTGCAGAAGTCTGACAAAGCAGAATTTGGGAGCACCGTAAGTGCAACCTACATCTAAAATAAAAATAATATTACGTTTGTAGGATTGTGGCTTTGAAGCCAATTGAACTACTCACACGCATAGTTATAAACATGCCAAAGCATTTGCAGAATCATTACCTCAGTCAATAACATGGAACAAGAGAAACAGGAACAGAGCATGCACCTGCAATACGGCTGAGACATGGTTGCTGTCAGAACATTTGGACTATAGGGGAAAGAAACAGCTGAGGATGTGGGAGAAAGTCCAAGAGAGCTCAACATGAGAGGAGAGGAGAAGAGAGGAAATACATTTGCATTTAACAATTATTGACCATAGATGATATTATTTTCACATCTCTGATGCTTAATAAATTATTTTAAAAATGTAAATGAAGGCACCTCAATACAGTATACATTATTTTCATTGCTCTGAACTAATTTATGTATACAAAAAGAGAGAGGGAGATTTTTCTTACATTAAGAAACTTTACATAAAATTAAAAGTAATACTTTGTATCTGACCCCTTTAAATCTCTCTCTGCTTCTCCTGCTTCTTTTTGGCAGCTCTCAAGGCTGTAGTAGCTTCTGCAGCTGCTGTGTCTCCAGCCTCAAATGGGCATTTAGGTCGGTAAATCTATGTAGCTATGGATTCACTGGCCACTACCTCCCCTCTGCACTTGCCTAACCCCACCCCTCACTCTGAGCTAGGGCAGATCAAGCACTCACAGAGCTCTAATCCACCAAGTGCAGGAGGTACAGACTTCTCCACTCCTTTTGATCCTAATTTGGCAAAGTTCTTAAGCACATGCTTAACTTTAAATACGTGTTGTCCCTTTAATTTCAGTGGAACTGCTCACATGCTTAATGGTTCAGCATGTGCTTAAGTACCTTGCTGAATTGGGGTCTTTCTATACCCTGTCCCTCCCCTACCATGCAACAGATGCATACTGGTTCTTCTCTGTTCTGGGCTTTTTGGTTCTATTAGTTGGGTTGGAGCATTTGGCCCTGAGAGTCAGAGCCAGTTTCCACTGAAATCAATGGTAATTAACCATGGGAACAGATGACCAAGGGAGGAGATAAATTCTCCATCACTTGGACTCTACATTGAGATTGGATGTTTTTCTAAAAGAAAGGGCTTTAGTTCAACCACAAGTTGTTGAGTCACTGGATAAAATTCTATGCCCTGTGTTATACAGAAGGTCAGACTAAATGAACATCATAATCCCTTCCGGCTTTATTAATCAATGAAGGAATGGAGAGGCGTCTATTGATATAAAGAGCACCGGGCTGAATCCTAAAAGAGAAAGAAGAATTAACAACTCACTCTCTCCCAGAGGTGGAGTTGATCAGAGTTGAGGTACAGAGATGGGACAGAGTAGAAAAAGCTTGCGCTGATGGTGTCTATGCCACAATGCTGCTGTTAATAAATTGGGAACTTCAGTGTCTGAGGCTGACAATGAAAATAGTATCAAGAGAAAATCTGGGTTTTTATTTTCCCAGTTTGACAAAACGGGGGGATGGGCAAGAGGAGTTTGTCATTAAACTGAGCAGCTCCAGTTAGCGTATTTCCACAAATCATTATTTTAGAGGGATTAGTGATTTTCACAATGGAAGTTCCGCAGACTTTCAAGGTAATTTCTCCTCAGCAGCAAAACCAAATTATTTTCAGATGGATTTATATTCATGCAAACTTAAGTCCTGCCTTGTGGAATCAGTTTTTCTTCATTTTATTTATTTTAGAAGGTTTAAACCAAGCAAATGTTTCTCTCATGAGTGCGGAGTTTATTTTAATCGGCAGCCTGAGTGAAAGATAATAGATGCATATGCACGTTACATAACTTTTTCTAAAACTGAAGGTCCTCACAAATTCTGCAGCATGTTAGGGTCAATTTGTATGGTAGGAATGACAAAATCCTATGACAGACTTTAGAGAATTCTAAGGCATTTTTGTGCAGTTATACCTTTTACCATGTAGTTGCTGCACTGCACCTGCATTTCCATAGGATACACGTAGAATTTAGGGGAGTCAGCTAGTGAATTCCAGAAGCTTTGATCCTTCCACAGTGCCATGATAATCAGATCATTCATTACCCATGAAATAACTTAACCCTTTCTTTTTTGTTCCAGTTTGGAAAAATTACAATCTTCCAACATTAAGAAAGAGGGTCAATTACTAGTGAATGGTTGGCTATTTTTCCAAGCTCCCACTACTAGATGGAGTATCAGACCTCTTCCAGTTGCATGCAGTTGTAACAGGGTGTGTTGGCTTTTTAAGGAGGCTACAGACCCAGCATAGCCCCCTCACCTCTCGAGTTCTGAGACCTAATGGGAGTTGTAGGCTCTGCAACAATGCATATTGGGAAAGGGGGAGGCATATAAAAAAGCTCCTGTTCCCTCTGGCAAGGCAGGGAACAAGGAATAAGTAAGACCTAATGATGCTCCCTCCTGAAAAGGGCCTCGGAGGGAGGTCAGGTGGACAGAAGGGTCAGGGAACCACAGGGAGAAGAAATTACTGTGGAATTTGTTACAGTTCCCTGGGGGGACAGAGCTCGGGGACGGGGGGGGGCGGAGTAATAAAGGGTATTTTATCTTTGTTCATCTGTTTGAAGTATTTGAGATGGGATGGTGCCAGAAGTAGCCAAGGCCTAGGATGGAAATTAGAGGACTATCAGAGTGAAGGAAGAGGCCTTGGGCAAGAAGAGCAGATGGGGCTTGAAACGTTTATTGAGTGCTATTTTCCTGTAAAGACTGTATCTTCCAAAAGAGGGTGGGAGGAAGCCCCCTTCACTCCCTGCATCACTAGGGGAAAATTTGTGCAGTGTGCAATAGGGAACATACGATTTCACTCCAGTGTAAATGTGAACAGAGACTACACACGTGCTTAAGTCTACGCTTAGATAGTTCTTTTCATCTGTAGATCTCAAAACACTTCACTAAGGTGGACAAGTAGAATTTTACTGTACATGTAGGGAAACAGAGGCACAGAAAAATCAAATAATTACCCAATATATAATCATTGCAAATGTAAACAAATTAAAAGGTGAGAGAAATTAAAAAGTTGAGGCTAGAATTGAAACGAGCTGGAGAGTCAATGAGGACAGAAGACCTAGGAGGGCTCATCCAAGTAGCAGAAGATTCAGAGGAGATTGCTCTTGCACAAAGAGAAGAAGAGGATGCCAGATGAGTGAAAGGAGGGATGTGTGGTAGACTCTAGCAAGTCCTCAGCAGGTGATGGTAGAGCAAGACAGTGACTTTTAAAAAAGACTTTCAAATAATGTAGTTAAGAAACACTAAACAGGAAGATTATTTAAAAGGAATTCAAAGAGCAGCTCTCTCTAACCACCTCTCTCAAATGGGAGAGTTCTGCCTGTCAATCCAGTCTGACTGGTGACACAATAGATCATAGCTGGACAGGAAACATCATTTTGATATCTGGAAGTGATCATTTGCCCAGAGTTTAAAGTAGGAGCGTGGAAGTTCTGCGTGGTGTTAGCAATGCAATTTATTTTCTCCCTCCTCCTGTAGTCCAAGTTGGATTATTTTCTAAGAGTTCCACAATACCTAACAGACAGCTAGGAGACTTAAGGCCATGA